ATAAACTTACGTCCATAAATAGTTATGAAATTTTTCTACGCCGTTTATTATTGCTTTTGCTTCTTTGTCTATTGTAGAATAATTCTTTTCAGCATCTTGCAAAATTCTTCGCCATTGGATATTCGTCTCCGTTATTATATTTTTGCAAGAGTACAGCTCCAAATCCTTGGTTAGATGCATCTGTTTCAAAATTAACTCGAGGTACGATTTATAAAACTGTATAGTATTTTGTTCGGTTACTATTCCTTTGCTCTTTTAAATATATCTTCTTAGTCCAATTCCATTTAACATTTTCACTAGTTTTATTATGTAATTCGGCGATAATTCCATGTAAGTTTGGTATGAACCGTATATGATAATATACCTAAAAATGATTTTATGTCATGTCTATCTTTTGGAGTTGGATATTTTTGTATTGCTATTATTTTCTTTTATCTGGGTGTATTCCATTTTCATCTATTATATATCCTAAATATGATACTTTTTCTTTCATAAAATTTATTTTGCTTTTTTTGATTTTTTATCTCGCATTTTGTGATTTTTTGAGGACTTGTTTTATATTCTCTACATATTCTGTATCATCTTTTCCTGTGATTATAACATCGTCTATATAAACTGCTGAATCTTAACAGTTAGCCAGTAAATCGTCCATATATCAGTGAAATATTATTGGTGCTGTAGCTATACCAAAAGGTAATCGTAAATAGCGGTAGTATCCATTTGGTGTTACCATTGTTAATAATTCTTGCGATTCTTCGTCAATATTTATTTGTAGATATGCGTCTTTTAGATCTAATGTTGTATACTTATTTCCATTAGCGATCTTTGCGATTAATTCTTCAAACGTTGGTAGAATGTGATAGTCTTTTAGTAAAAATTTATTCAATGTTACTTTGAAATCACCACATAATCGTAGTTCACCTGAGGTTTTATGTACCACTACCATTGGAGTACTCCAGGTTACTCTTGTTGTTGATGTATATATTTTCTTTATTATGTTATTTTATTCCAAACGTTTCAGTTCTTTTTAAATTTCTACTTTTAAAGGCAACGGTACTCTTGCTGGTAGAGCTATTGGTTTTGTATTTTCTTCTAATTGTAGTTTTACTAGTTCTACATTTTTTATTATCAAACACAATAGCAAATTTTCTAGATAGTTTTTCAATATTCACGTTTCCATTATTATTATATTTATTGCATATTGACTTTTGCCTTTGTTGGTAGCGATAGATCAAATTCTACAGTCCATGGAAATCCAAATAGCGCTGTATCATTTGTTTTTGTAACTAATAACGGAAGCCATTTTATTTTATCATCTAATTGAACTTTTACATAAGCTTCTTCCATAATTTTTATTGCATTGTTTCCATATGTTGTTGGAGCTATAACCTTTCTAAGTTTTGGCATCCCAATTTTATTCCATATTGCTGCATTATTGATGGTTACTGCTGAACCTATATCTTATTCCATTTTAATTTTGTGTTTGTTTATTAATAACATAATTGTTGAGTGCTGTCCATATTTGTAGACTTTTCTTACTAAGAAATCAGGATCGTCGTTGTTACTGAATTTATACCGTAAGCTTCTCCTCCATTTTTACAACACACGGCAAAGTGGCTTAATCTTTTACACTGCTGCAAGTTTTTTCGTATGCTGGACAATTCCGAATAACATGAAAACGATTACAAAAAATATTTATATTATTATTCTTGTGGTAGTTATTATAACCTTGAACTGGTTTTCTTTTTACGTATGTTTTATTATCATTTTGATACTGCTGATTATTATTATAATTTTGATTTGATCGTTTATTACTATCATTTGTTTAGTCGTCTCTTTGATTTTATAAACCATTCTAGTATTATTTATTTCTAAAGTTGGCCTCGTTCCATTGCTAAAGCCATTTCTATAACCTTGTTTAAGCTTAACGATTTCTCTTCATCTCTAGTATCCGGGTATCTTAATCGTAGTTCTTTATCTAGTTGCGAAATCTTTAATCCGGCTATTAATTGATCACTAGTTCGTAATTCTATATTATCTTCAAATTCACATCTACGGGCTAGTACCTTTATATTTTTAAATAGCTCATTACTGATTCGGTTGGTCAGCTACTTAATTTAATAAAATCATGATGCCAAGACACTTCTTTCGTCTTTTAAAAGTTATTTTGCAATTTTATATAAATCTGCCTATATCACATCATCAATTTTTCTTGGAAATAATAATTTGGTTTATATTATTTTATTTATCCCTTTAACGCTATGAATAATTTATTCAAAGTTGCGTTTGAGGAATATTCTTTACATTCAAAATATATTTAATATAATCCAAATAATCATCTAAAGAAGTTTCTTCTTTACGAAATTCGTTTAAATGTAATTTTGAAATATCACTCATAATTTCTAAAAATATATAACTGGACGGATTTTATTGGCTGCTGGTAGGAATCGATGCATACTCAAGATGGATCGAGATCGATAGAATTAAAGATACAAGTAAGAATTTACAAAATGGATTATTAGAAAAATGGGTTACTCGATGTATTCCACGTCAAATTGTAATCGACAATGGTCCATAATTTATTTCAAATTAATTTGATAAATGGTGTAAAAACAAAAATGCAATATAAAAACAACATCGTATCATTCGAGAAGTAATGGTTTAGTAGAAAGATGCATTCAAACTATCAAAAATCGATATTTCGCGAATAGTGAACAAACTAATAATGATGAAAAATGCTTAAACGAAGTGCTATTTACGTATTGAAATTTAAAACACTCATCAACAGGACGAATGGACTGGGTCAATTCTATTATTGAAAAATTAGAAACTTTTGTAGTGAAACCTAACCAGTTAGACAAAAGAACACAGATATTTTCGAGAAAACTATTGAGTGTGCATAAAAAACTCAATTAAAAAAGGATGTTATGAAGGAAAGATAATAAATCAACAAGCTAAATTTTCTTAAAATGTAGAAGAAAAAAAATAGTACGAAAACATGTTGACCAACTATGAACAAGGGAATAGTTGAATCCGAATCAATAATAATATAAAGTTAGAAGATAAAATAGTTTAAACAATTAAACTAAGTCAAGTAATTCAAAACCGATATCCAACGAGCGAACGAAAACAAGCAAAAAGATTAATATACGAACTTGAACTTGGCGGGAAATAAGATATGTTATATTACATATATTTTAAAAGGTTGTTATTTGAATATTATATTTGTTATACAATAATATAGCATATTTATATATAATATTTAGTGATGTTAAGGTAATTAGTTACCTGCTAGTTACATTTTAGCTAAAAAATAACTGTAACTAGTTATATTTTTAAAATTGTAACTAGTTAAAATTTTTGAAATGTAACTACCAAAGGTAACTAGTTACTTTTAAAGATATATTTAAATAATTAATTTTATTTTTAATATGTTGTGATAAATTAATTTTAAATTAAATTTATTTTCTAAATTAAATTTATTAATTTAAAATTTTGTGAAAATGTCTGATTGTTCCCAACAATAACACAAATACTTATATGTATGGCAGATGTGCAGGGATTAAAATATTGTCAACCTCTAAAGGATACTATATTAGCTAGTATTGAAAAAAGGTAACTAAAATCAAATAATTATTTTATAGGTTTAATAATCTTTATGATAATGACAACATCATTGCTGCAATTCTTCACCCTTTATTTAAAACTGACTGGCCTTGAATTAGGCAAGAAAGGAATAAAGCAAAAAAGGAGGAAATTTTAAATTTAATAAATATCTTAATACCTCAAAGTGAATCCCAGACTAATGAATCATGCTCAAAACCAACATCACTTGATGTAGTTGGATTTTTTGACCTAAAGCGCCAAAATATTCTGGATACTGAACTTATAGAAAACTTTATCAAATCTAATAACAACACTTTTTCTTTATATAACGATTTTCCAAAGTTAAAATTACTCTTTATTAAATATAATGTTGTTCTAACATCAAGTGCTCCCGTAGAGCGCTTATTCAGTCTAGGTAAGCTCATTTTTGGAGATAAACGAACACGTCTCCTAGATAATAACCTAGAAATTAATTTGTTGTTAAAAGCAAATAAACATTTATTAGATTCTAATTTTTATGAAAAATAAATGTTTTTTTTCAATGCAAATATATATTTTTATATTCGATGTAAATATTCAATTTTGCGATATTTTTTTATATAAATAAATTGTATATTATTTTAAATAACTGATTATACTTTGTTTATCCTAATTTTTTTTATATTAAATAAATGCATTCAATAAATAAATAATGCGCATATGAAGGATGTATAAAGTAAGTAACTAGTTACTTTTGAAAATAACTGTAACTAATAACTAGTTACTTTTGTAAAAATGTAACTAGTAACTGTAACTAGTTATGTTTTTGCCAATGTAACTAGTAACTGTAACTAGTTATGTTTTTGCCAATGTAACTAGTAACTGTAACTAGTTATGTTTCAAAAGTAACTTTTAACATCACTAATAATATTATATAAAAGGTGATTTAATTTGAATAATTATAGAATAGTGTATATATATATATATAAAGTTATCATTGACTATATTTTATGAGGTTTTCAATTTAATATTTAACTTGACCGAAGACCATGTCTTTTTTATCTCGTTGACAATTTTATAACTTGAATAAACCTCATAATATATAGTCAGTAGTAACTTTTTATTCTCAATTCTATTATATACATATACTATTATATAATTATTCCATTCAACTGACCTTTTATATAGTAATATTAAATATAAATGCGCTATATTATTGTATAACAAATATATTATGCAAATAACGTTGAATATTATAACCTTTTAAAATATTTGAAATATAACAATTTCCTCCAAAATATTTTCCTTTACATAAGGACTATGCCTGTGAGATATATTTTTTAATGATAACTTTATCCCTATTATACCTTAGTATTATATTGTTAATTTTTTGAATATTGTAAAAAAACGCTAAGCTTAATTCCGAAACCATGGTCCAAGGCACTCCCCCTCGCTTTCTTACGACAAGTATTGTTTCCAATGAAAAAGGAGACGGTAATGCGAATACCGCTAGGCCCAACAATTTTAAACTTAACCGACTAATTGGGAACGGGTTTAAAATAGGGGCGGGAAGTATTTTCAAATCGCCTAGCTTCGAATCTCCAATGTCTAAAGTTCAAGTAATTTTTTTTCTTCGTAAAAAATTTCTTTTATAGTTGACAAGAAACATGATTTTTAAAAAATATATAAATCAATTTTTATACTATAATAAAAATATTTAGCGGAATAATTTTAAAAAACTGTTGAGATAAATTTTTTTTATAACCATTCGAATCCTGAATCGGGATTTGCGCCAATTTGTGATGCTAATTCAAATTATAATCAAAAGTGAAAAAAAATTAATTTGCTTGAGTTAATAGACGAAATTGACCCTTTCACACTCAGTTTAAAGCTTGGCTTTAGTTGTTTCACAAAAGTTTCATATATCATTTCCAGTGTATGGGACACCTAGTTATTTCTATTAGACAAACATTTTATCGCTCAAAGCACCGACATTCATACTAATAATAAAAAAACATTTACTCAACCATCAAGAACTTCTTGAATAGCAAAAACTCGGGCTCATCGTCAAACTCAGACACCCCCACTACCCAACCTTGCCTCCCCGACAAAGGGAATCATTTCGCCCAACCAGACTCGGTCATTCCTGATCTTAACTCTCAAGACCAGCGCGGAGAATTCAACGAGGTCATGATAACGGAAAACGGATGCGTAAATATTTCGAGATGTGACAGCCCTATTCAACTAGCTCGCACCAGCCTAATGAAGGTTTGTTGGGCAGGGCAATATATAAATTTTTGATCTATAGAGCACATTCAAATCCTAGGAGCTAATAAGGATGGCCCGTAAATTTTAAAAAAGGATGTATACAAAACTTGCTTACAAATCATTTTAACATTCAAAGATTGATATGATATGAGATATTACAATGATAATTTATCAAAATGAGAAGTTATAAAATGATTGTGACAATTAAAAAGTCAACAAAAATATTGAGTAGATTATATTTATAAAATGATTTTTTTTATGTTCACAATTCATATATAATATTCTTACTAATTTAAAATAAAAACGTATATGGGACTACAAGTTCACCAAAAGTAAGAATAATTATATTTTAAAAGGATTATTTGATTTTTTAAGAAAATAAAATTCCTTGCGTTCTCATGTTATCGTTATGATTTCGCCGCCTATATATTTTTTAAGCCTATATATTTTTTAAAAAATTTAAAGTTCCGCTTTATCTGGAAGATATACATACCACCGAAGTGGATGTAACATCTTTCAACCATATACATGCATTGTCGGTTGATTCCAAAGTGAGACATGGTTTAATTGTTAGTCAAGATGTAGACCTGCAAGGTATTCAGCGATTAATTCAATTATTAGCCATATTCATATGAGGGTCTGAATACCAAACATCATGTAGCCTGCTAATTTATTATCAGATGATGGCCCGAGGCCAGATAGTTTAACTCCAGGACCCTCTGGTCTTTAGGTAAATTCCTAATTTTGACTTCACACGCATCTCTTCATTTCCAGAAAATATATATTCTAATCCGGTTGATATAGACGAGAAGAAAAAAATAAATTAACAAATCATGTTTTTTTTACCAATCGCTAATTCCTCCCTTGGACATATGTCAAGAGGAATTTTAAATTTTTTTATCCTCCCTTGGATATATGTCAAGAGGAACTTTTTTTTAAAAATATAGGCGGCAAAATAAGAACCATAACATTAAAACCCAAATAATTTTAAAATTAATTATTCTTGTTTTGGAGGTACTTGTCCCACATCCTTTTTTTTATATAATGACCTTTTTATTAATTTGTTTGCTCCAGTTAAATGTAACATTTTACTAATATTAAGTTTTGATGTTTTTATACTGATTGGTTGGTGATTCGCAGTGAATAGCAAGGCCTCGTTCTAACCTTAAACAGGACCAAATGACGGACCAATATTTCTTTAATGACAGAGGTCCGCAAATAACCTCATCTTTTTATTCTTGATTTAGTCCTGTCACATTAGGTTCGGTCTTGACCGAAGACCGTGGCCTTCTTCATTAGCGATGAGCTCTAAATCTATATGAAATCTAATAAAAATTAAATCGCCTGCAGGGCTTTCAAAACCTTAAAAATCGGATGATGATACCTGGCTCTCTGATGAACGATACCCCGAAAGTGAGTGTTCTGCAACAACAACCGCCATCTTGCACTAATTCTGAATCTTCTATTATTTCTGGTAAGTTTATTTTAAAGAAAATTATATATTACTGGTTATATCATTCGAGAAAGTTTTCGGGTTGGCTGGATATTTATTCAATTCTTTCTGTGGCCTGGAAATTCATTTAGCAGGACGAGTTGATTATATTTTATAAGTGATTGATTTGTATTTAATTTAAGAACGAAGACTGCTTAAATGATTTAAATCAACTATTCTTAAATATTTTATATATAAATATTAAATAAAATTATAATGACCTTTTATTTATAAGACAACTCTTTTTTTTAAAAAAATTTTTCTCTTATAATGTATGAATTCTTATTGAATTCAAAGTAGAAGATGAGTTAAATGTTTTTAGTACTTTTTCATATTAAAATTTTAATTTATGCTTATATTATATTGTTAAAATATTTTTTTATAAATTTTAGGTATACAAATATATATTTTTTGATACATTATTTAAAAAAAATTGGAAATTTAATATATTTAATAAAAACCAAAATAGATATTTAGGTCAAGTTCTCAAATTGAATTAATAATTACACAATATTATTATTGATATTGTAATCAAAGTTACTAAACTCTTAGACATAATAATTTTTATTATAAAAACATACAAAATATATGAAAATAAATATAAAAAATTTTATATATGGGGCTAAAATTTTAGCAAATTTTAAAATTTAAATATTTTTTAGCTTGTCTATTAAATTGATTCATATGTAATTAAAAAATCAATAATACGATGTGTATCATCATCATATGAGATGGATTACTTTTTATTTTAGTTACTAAATCTATTTTAACCCTTCAATACAATACTCCGGTGGGGTTTATAGGATCCCAGGCCACTAGAATGGATATTTCATAAAAACAGTTAATTATGATGATCTGGAATTTTCAGTTAGCTTCATTAAAAATATCTAAAAATCTATATTCCAATTTTCTATTTATTTTGATTGACAAGTTTTTAATATATAAGCATTTTGTGATTGATTGGGGTCTGTGAGACCCTATCAGAATAAATTACTACCAAAACGAAATTTAAATATATTTTATTTTGAATGTGTGAAAAGAAAACATTATTTTTTTTAATGGGAGTTATTTTATTTCATTTTTCATAAGCTGACTCATTTTAAAAATTATTTTTATCATTTACTATGATTTTTGCAGATTCTGATAATAGATATAATAAAATTATTTAAAAGAGGTGAATATGAAAAAATAACATTATCATAAGTCCATAGAAAAGAAAAAATGGCATAATACGATCAACTTTCCAACATAATAAAAATGATGGTACAAATGACTCAAGCAAATTAAAATTATAGCATTTTATAATATGGCTAAAGGTGGGGTGGATATGGTTGATCAAATGCTAACAATTTTTTACACACTTCTAAACATAACATCAATGAATTCACATAATATTAGCAAACATAAAAATATCAATTACAAGAAGTAATTTCATAAAAAATTACCATTGGAATATTATACCATATTTGGAATGAAAAAAAGTCTCAGAATTGTCATGATTTTTAAAGAATGAAAAAAAGTCTCAGATCCATTCAAGTGGTATGTGTTATAAAAATAGGAGTAAAAAAACTAAATATTTTTGCCAAGTATGAGAAATTTTTTTCTGTTTGTAGCATATTAATGCTATCCAATAAATGCTTTGCATGTCAAAATTAAAATATTTCAATGTCCTATATTTTTTTATCGAAGTACATGGATTGATATTTTCCTACCTATTATTTAATATATATATATTTAACTTCTGAAATTTCATACTCATCACTTTATCCATGAAGGAATCATCCAATTCTTCAGGATAATAATTTGATTCAAATAAAACTCAACAACTAATGAAAATTATTATTAGACCTGCAGAGGTACCATTGGCAGGGCCCGGCCCGATCTTTTTAAAAAAAATTTTTTTTGGCCCAGTTCAAGTTTTATATTTTCAGGCACAGGCTGGATTTTTTCTTAAAATTTATCTGCCCGGCCTGGATTTTTAAAAATATATTACATTTATTTTTATGTAGCTAATAATGGCGATTTAAGATATTCGGTTTTGAAATGTGTAGCCCGGCCTGGGTATTTTTTAAAAAAAATTTTAGGCTTGGCTGGGGCATATTTAAAAAAATTAAGGTTGCAGGTCTCTGGGTTTTTTTCATGTAATAAAACTCTTGTTGTGGTTTGTTTATTATTACATCTTTACATTGTTTCAATGTGAGACTTGCCTCAGAATGCTTACAAATATCTCCACATTTTCCTTTGAACAGAAATAATCTTCAATAAATTTCAGGTGTTTGCTATTAATCATAGCTGCACCAGAACCTATTTATAAAAATGTTTCATAAAATTTGTATATTATATGAATACTTAATTTTATTAGATATGGCATAGTATTTGTTGAACTTAAATTTCATAGCTACAATTTTTTCTTTATTTGTTCATAATTAAGATCATACATCCTCCCTATTTCTTCACACTTTATCTTACTTGTTGCCGTGTCTCTAAATTTTAAGTCTAACGATATTTTCTGAATTTATATAAGATCATATACGTTTGTCATTTTTCTCGTAAAGATTACAAAATTTTACTTTTCGGTTTTTCTAATATAGCTCAAAATGAACTCGCCAGCATCAATATACCTACCAATTTTTTGAAACGGATTGGCCCATGTTTAGGTATTACCCAACTATTCATAACATAAAACAAAATTTGCATATTCGAGATAGACATTGCAGTCTTTAAATTGCTTATTAATTATTTTTTTAATTCCAGAGCCATTTTTATCAGTAACCTGCAGAGGTACCAATTGCACGGCCCGGTTATATTTTCAGGTCTGGCTCGACCCGTATATTTAAAAAAAATTTTTGGTCAGGTAGTATAAATGTTTCTACTGCCATTGTTTTAAAAAAAATTAAAATACTTCTATTATTTTACTGATCGTTTTTCAGCAAATATGTGTAATAACTTTCCAAATGATCTTATCTCCCCATTTGTCGTAAAAGAATGAGTTTGAATCACCACAGTTTCAATTCGACTGCTCGATGGTAATTCCTCTATTTACGGTTCCTCTTGTAATTTAATATAATCTTTTATATAAGTATCTCTCATTTTGCGCTCTCTCCCTGGCAACATGCGTAATTGTTTGAATTTGGGACAGAACAAAAGAAAGATAAAATGATACTTATCTATAATAAATTTTTCCCTTAAAAAGTATTTTATATTTTGAATAATAAGTGAATGATTGTAATATATTTTAGGATACACAATTTTTATGGATAATAATGGAGATTTAAAATGTTCGGCCAGGTCCGGGTATATTTTTATAAAAATTTTTGATAATTATTATAAAGAATATTTAAACTAGAATTTTTTTGAGCCTAAGTTTCTAACTCTTTGACAGATATTTATTGATTAGGCTCTGATAATTCCTCATCAGAATATGTATCTTATAAAATATTAATAAATTTTTATTTATTATAATTATCAAATCAAAATAATTATTTATCTTCAAGGGGCACCGATATTTTCACCATTAGACGATTCGCATCATCGTGTCTGATTACTTCTATATGTTCGTAACGGTGCGAAATGTGTAAAAATATGTTGGTGAACCTAATAAAATAGATATTTTGTAATAATTTATTAATGGTAATTTCGCTCATAAGAGCAAGTATTAAATTTTTTAATACGTACTACAACTTTCGTGATACCATAACATCAATACAAATAATTATTTAATTTATGAGAAAATATAACTTTTTAAAATTAATTACGCTTCTTATAACAGCCCCACTACCCTTTTTAGAAACATTTCACATGGACGACCTTAGAATGGGCCCGTCAAAACCCGTTACTATAATCTCCAGGAATTGCTTGGATTCGATCAGCAGTTCTACCTATGCCATAGCTGGCCGCGAGACCATGCATTACGTCGTAGGTCACGATTTTTTAACCTCGGCTTCTCGCCGCGTACCTTCCCCGAGCCCACCTCCTTCCACCTGTTCTGCATTGGCGAATTCATCCGTCGCCGATCCGCGCGAAGACGTCACCACAAACGACGAAGAAAATAACGTAGTCACCCACAACGACCGCCGAAATTTGAATGCGCGAGATAATGGGGATAATTTGGATTCACGCGTCCGCCATAATTTAAATATTAGCAACAAGGGGGATAATTTGAATGACGATAGTTGCAATGTCAAACACGATAGTTGCAATGTCAAACACGAAATCGACAAGAGAAGAATCTTGGACGATGACATAAGTAAGCCTTTATTTTTTTTATTATGAAAGCATTCATTTAGTACTACATTTTTATTTTAAAAGTGAAATGAAGCATTATGCCTTTTTACCTTGTAATTTATAAACTGAAATACCATTTTGAACTCGAAGCCTTTCATTTTAAATTTATAGAGTATTTAAGAATTTACAAATAAGGTAAGCTTTTATAAATTGTTTGACTTTTCCATTCGCAGTTAGAATTTTTGATTAAGATTTTTATATAAACATTATTTTTTTATGGCACTTAAATTTTTTAAAAATATTTTTATAACTATATGCGTATGCTCGCCATTGTTGCATACATCACGCTCGGAAGATAAATAGCTCTTACATTAAAATATTATTTAAATGTGCTTAAAATTAAAAGAATTTATTATGTCAAGACTTGATATCGGCGGGTTGGGTTAGAATTTAAGGAATTTGTGCTAGTGCCCGATAGTGTTGTTAAACGGCTCGTTTTGAGTCTATTTTTATAAACAGCTAACTCAATATTTTAGCCAAAAAAATATTGCCTAAGCTTCGAGATTTCGATAATATATGTCTAGACCTTTGTTCCTTCTATGAGCAAAATCTTCAGGCTTGCATAACATTTTTCTGGCTAAAATATTGTGTTAGCCGTTTTTAAAAATCGGCTCAAAACGAGCCGTTTAACAACACTAGTGCCCGATATTTCAATAGTAAATTTTTTATTTTTAATTATGCTATTTACCGACCGAGTATGTTTTGTTATAATTAGCGATGTAACATAAGGGAAATCAGGATTTTAATCATATTTTATAAAAAAAATAATTTCCTCTTGATTCATATACCATAATGGTATTTAGTTTGTATGTACTTTCATTTTCGACAATATAATAATAACTCAGGATAATGAGTAGGAATAAAGGTTAAAGAGATAGGAATAGGATAGAGTATAGGCAAACTTCCTCTTCTAATTTTAATTCAACTAATAATATAAATTTCTGAAAAAATAATTTAATGAAATATTGATAATTTCGCAATAGCCATTATGTTAAATTGTCCATCTTCCATAATGCAGCGTGTATTTGGAAGAAATTATTTCAATATTTAAAATTCTCTCAAGATATTTACTCAGTAAAAATTTGTTAAACAGTGAAAATGAAAGGATATAAAATATAGTAATCGATGGATAAGATGAAAAAAAATTTGATTTTTATTAATGATGTGTGCGAATATAAGAGTGGGATGTATTATAAATTTTATAATAACAATCCTAAGTCCCATTTTCTATAAATTAATTGAAACAACCAATATGCTTACTGGAGTAGTGAATTTATTAAAGTAATTAAAGAAATAGGAAGCACAAAAATTAATACCATAATAAATAGTGCAAGTAATGTAGAAAACCTGGAGACACTTGTGAGAAATAAATATTCAATTATTGAATGCATTGGGTCAATATCATGGACTTAATTTGCTTTTAAAGGATCTAGCAAATAATATATTTTAAATTTACTAGCAAAAGCCCAAATTATTATAAAATGTGTAAAATTCAACATTCTTTTACAGATTTAAGGAAAAACAACTACTTAAAAGATAAAAATAGAATTGTTTCCTTAAAGTCATCTAACCCACCCAACTATTTAAACATTAAGTTTTGATAATTAATAGTCTTATATAAAAAAAAATATTTTGTGGCAATACTCAATAATCTTGATAAGGACGTTTTTTAAATGTTGAACAGCTATACAATTTTATAAAATAATTTCTACACAAATAGACTTAGTGGAAGCGAACAAATAAAATTTATCTCACGTTCCTCAACTATTTATTCATATCAGATATTTTACGGAACGAAATTATAGAGATCGAACATTTTATAAAATAAAACCGGTAATTTTTTGTTGTTGCAGGGACATACATTATTACCCTGCTCATATACTTGACCCAAAATATACGGATTTAATTTTAAAGACAATAAAGTTGATAAAGGATAAGATGTTATAAACCGATTTTCTGAATACCTAGATTAGATGTTGCGACTGCGAGACAAATAACAAATTGCTCGATTTAGAAATCTGGAATCGTTTTCATTTTCAACGAAGATAACAAATTAAATAATTGAAATTATCTCATACAATATATTAATAGTCTATATATTTTTAATAAAACATGAAAAAAAAATCAATATTGACCTGTAATTATTTTTTTATAGGAAATTTCCCGTTTTTTACTCAAATTTCTATCAATAATAGTTTTCCGGGAAATTTACGTCCCTAGTTACCTTTCCAATTCTTCACCCAATTTTCGATCAACTATTTTTTAAAAAAAAACAATTTTAAATTATGTTTAATTATTTGTAATCTCTCGTAAGGCTTCCTCTGCGATTACCTCATCAAGAAAATGTCAATATCCGGGTTACTAAACGAATCTCGACATTCAGGAAGTTTAGCTGTGCGACCCAATTCTGTCCAAAAGGTTTCATATTTTTTTCTCCCGTTTCTCCAATATTTATTAATTCACTTGTATTGTAAAGTCAGTACATACGCAACTTAATATGATGGTGCAATCACTGATATATACACTTTAATTCAGTTTTTATAGAAGATAGATTTTTGATCAAATTTTTCCTAAAAATGCCAAATTCTTTTTTGTTTTGACAATTTTTCTAATAAATTGGGGCAATACAAACCACCAAATATATTAATTTTATAATGATGATCTGAACCATATAATCATTTTCTAAAAATTAGGGGTTATAATTTAATAATTGTATACAATAACAATGTTTAAAAGAATTATATCGCAAGTGACATGTATTTTTAATTGACCGATTTTTGTAAATCTTCCGAGATAATCTTTTAAGAATTTTAAAATATTTAATTTCAAATTTCCATTAACTACGTTAATTTATCATTTTGAAACCAATTTTTCCCCAAATTTGGGTTTTCTGGCCTAGGCGAATACTTGAAATGGTATTTTATATAAATTACTTGACAGTGTAATGATAATAATCATTAGTGATCACGATGTATATTGCCATATTATTTGTGTTCTAAAAAACTAATAATACCTTAATAAAGTTATATTATTTATACTATTCATTGTGTAATTTATTTTAGGTGGGATCCGATCACCCCGACGACGAAAATTCAACCAACTTATTAAGTCTAATACGACTCGTGCAACGTCAAGTCGACAGGTGTCACTTGATGGGAGACTTCCACAATGCGACAATATGGCGACACGTTTTGGATATATTTGGGAATAATTACGGACAAAGGTTTTGAATTTTTTTTAAAATAATTTTATTGCTTTTGAAATCGTATCTTTTACGGATACCCCCCACCCTCCTAAGCCAATGATGCATATGTATTTTTTATTCCAAGTCCTCCTTATTTTTCTATATAATCCTTTTTAATTTTCACCCTTATCTTAAAATTTTTTAACATGTTAAAAAAAATTAAATATTTAAAAAAAAGAATAGATTATATGACAATAAAGAAAATTATTCATAATGCATTTATATGGTAATCATCAGCTATTTTTGATATAATATTACATTCAAATTCTAATACTTAAAATCTTATAATATTCTAAATCCCTCATCTATGAAAACTTATTCAATATAAGGAATAAACAAAATATTGAAGAAGAAATAAGTACATTAAGTTAATCTCATTCATATTTTATATAAGATTTTATCTAAAATGTTATTTTTCCTTCCTTTTAAATCTTTACTAGTATATTTAAAATTATGCTTGATCCATTAATTCAGCTTCTAAAGCCTATAAAGATAATTGATTACAATCTTTTCTTTAGATATTCCCATTCGAATAATTATATGCTCTGAATCACCATTTGAATGTGGTAAATAGGAAATAATAATACCATTTTTTAAGTGTATAGAAACCAAATCAAAAAAATGTTAATAATTTGTTTTGTTTAATTTAAAATAGGAATAATAGGATGGATCGCTTGATTACTCATCTATCCACGATATTCTCTCTCAAACGGGCCTACAAAAATTATTTACGTCTATTCGCCGAAAGAAAAAATCTCGAATACTCTATTTTGGAAGACGAAAATTTAGATTTGATTAGGTATATATATATATATATATAGGTATTATATGACCATTTCAAACTTGCAAAGTTATTACAATATTGTCACGTTTTATATTCACTTTTAAAGAAAATCTCACCCCCCCCCCCAACTACTTATGGAAATAGTTCAATTCTTATGTGTTAAGCATCCAATCTACTATAGAGATGTGAAAAAAATATTTATGACAATATATATATTTTTTTAAATGTTCTCATAAAAAATTAGACGTAGTCTGACCTTTTATACTTTACGTCAAAATGTGTAATATTTAATTTATTTGAAAATTTATAAATTACATTCATTTTTATACAGGAGAAGAAATTTGTCCGAAAATTTTATGATATCTCAAGTGACTCAAAAATTTATCCGTCGACACGCCCAATCGATCGAAATATTTGCCCAGGAATTCGCGAAATTAGCCACACCCGATGAAAAAGTTTTATAAATGCATATTTTTATGTACTAAAAAATTTTAAATGAGTCCAATCCCTAACACCATTTTTTTTAAAAAATGTTTAAATGTTATAGCACTTCTGAAATTTGCTCTTATTTTAAATTTTGCATTAGTCAACTCAAATCCTTAATTTGCGAAAAATAAATAATTTGTAAACATATTTTACCAACCATTTATATTTTATTTTTTAAGTTAAAGTTATCTAAATAATTTGCACCCAATTGTAAGTAAATCACTTCAATATTTTCTTCATATTTTTCCAGTCCGATTTCATTAACGATTTTCAACTCAAATTGAGACGGCAACTCGTTCACTTCTTCCCGACCCTACGGTCCAGCCCGTCTAAGCATCGCTACTCGCCTCCCAAAAACGGACGGAGCTTTTGCACAACTCATTCTTACCCCTTAGTGACCTCTGACGATTTTGGTTTATCGCTGATGTCTGGTTATAGCGAAGACGTTTGCCGCCTAGCTAGGGATTGTTACGGGCCATTATTATACAACTCAGGTTAAATATTAAATTCTTAATTTTTTTGGTAATTACGTTTACTCCGCTTTACTCATGGAGACTATTTTTTTAGCTCAATTAATTGCTCGAAAAATTATATAGACGTAGATGAAGGTTTAATATGATAATCAACAGCTTCATTCAAAATGCAGCAACTATAAGTTAAGTTACTTTCAAAAAATGCAATCTATAGCTTAGTTTTGCGGCCCGACCCTAAGTTAAAAAAATTTGTGTCTGAGTTTGAGCACAAATTTTTTGTTCCAACCCGAACCCGATTAAAAAAATTTGCAATTTTTTACCCGAATTTCTTCCATACTATAGGTTTTCCATTTATATTTTTTTTCATCTCAAATTCTTGAGTTCTAATCTTTTCAGAAATTATTTTTAAATTTGAATCGATTCTATAAACAATTTTATAAATAATTTGAGGCTATCAAATTGAAAAGATTTTAGAAAAAAAAAATATCAAATGAAAATATTTTATAATTGTTATACCTATAAATTATTCTAGATTTTAAGTTGGCTAAATGTAGAATATAATATGTAATTTATTTAACTTGACAGGAAAGTTAATTTGGGAAATGGAAATTACGTGTATGAATAAGACATGTGATTCTGATTGAGATATTGATGAAACGAAACATAATGATTATTGAGGATATTTATAATATTTAATTTTCGGCTATAAAAAACTCTTCAATGTAGCCCTGCAGAGCTCGATGAAATTTAATAAAACATATTTAGCTACTAAATTTTATAGTATTTCTTATCTCCTATTAGGTTCCTTCAATTTTTTAGTTTACACGCAGAGATCTTCCTCCCATAAAAATCTCCCGGATCTCCCTCCCACAATTTTAAAATTTCACCCGCATTAAAATTTTTAGCATTTTAATGTTTTTAATGTATAAATAATAATTTTGAGAAACAGCATTTGATTATTTTTATACTTTTTAAATTATTTTCAAAAAACATGTCTAGTTTTCCAATTTCCTTTTCCCTAATGTTTTCTCTAATGATACCACAACATAATAACAATCAAGTGTTTGTGTTAGTAAAATTTAGGAATTAGGATAGGAATATTTTATCTGGATTAGACTATTTTCTTGAGGTTATCTTTTTTTTTACTTAATTAAATTTTCATTTTATTCATTTAAATACATAATCTATATGAAGAAACAATCATTAATTAATTCAATTGTCAAGCACAGGCATTACGTATGATATGGAATGGTGTGAGTCAGTATGACATCAACCGATTATTATCACTAATACCCGACATTGATAGAATTTTAAAATATCATGAACCACTAAAATGATAATTTTTAATTGGAAATTATAAGCTGGCCAAATATTTTGCAAGGATTTTTCGAATGAGTTGGCCAAAGAATATTTAGGCATGGTTTTACGTTTTGGAAATCTACATATGTTAATATGCACTTGCAATTAGAAGAATTTTTGTTAATACAGATTCCAAAAATTATGTTACACAGCTATGTTAATTTTTTCAGCTAAAATTTGATAATATATTTTATGGCTCTATTGTTAAAAATGTCATTTACAATTGTTTAAAAGTTGCCTTAATTAATGGGTTTTTAAATAAAGCATTTTTTGCAAAAACAATTTTAGAGTATTTATTAGTGATCTGCATCGGGCCTAATTTTTCAAGCCCGGCCCGAATTTTTTTTAAAAAAGTTATGCCGGCCCGAACCCGGAATTTTTTTAAAGAAAATTTACCGGCCAGGCCCGAACTTATTTAAATATAGAAATTAATTTGTAAAATTACTCAAAATAAAAGACATAGTTATATAGCGTCTAGTTCCACAAATAAAATAAAATATTTTTATTTTACATAAAAAATTCAATATAAAATTGATAAATTTAAATATATTTTAAAAAATTTCCAAGGCCCGACCCGGCCCGAATTTTATTTAAAAATATTACTTTTGTAGATCTCTAGTATTTATAATCAAAATTTGATTTTAATAATTCTATTTGCAAATGTATAAATGTTAGGAACAAAAATCATAAATTGATGGATTTTGTGATTTGATAATTACAATAAAATACCGCTAGATATTGATATCTTGTTTGAAGAGATTGTTATGCTCTCTAAATTTTATGATTCTTCAAAATAATCCAATATAAATGATCTAAATTCTGAGGAGAAATGGGTACAATTTTTTCATAATAACGATGCCAGTATGTATTCTCTTTACCTCATTCGAATTCCTCATCAGAGCGCATATTTAGGTTATGAGGACTGCCTATAGAAAGAGAGATCGGATTGCTCTAACAAATAGAGACCAAACTTAAGCTGCATTCATAGTGGCTTGCGCTTCGCATACGTAAGCGATGCGTAAAATACAAAATATGTTATTTGATATGATGCATTCATAATAAAGCTATGCGTTTTATCCGATTTATTTGTCGTTGCGTAAATTAAATACAAATCATTTTGTATTTTTCGCTGCGTATACAAATGGGCGCCAAAAATTCTAATGTAATTTTTTTTTCGATGTTATATATTATTTTTTTTAGAATTTGATAGATAAAGAAGCAATTATCAATTGCGTAAGGTAACATAAATGCCATTATGATAAAAGTCTTATGTATATGAAATAAGTGGATTATGGTATATCCTCCTATTGAAGGGTATGAAATTGGTTATAACACCTAATACTATATTATGTCCTGTTAATTTCCAAGGTATCAAAGACATAAAATTTTTTAATTTTTATAAAGTTTTTACAACAAATTTTATTAACTAATATAAATTAAAATATTAAATTTTTATTAAAAATATCAATATTAAATTTTTATTAAAAATATCAATTACTATATATAATTAAATGTTAAATTTTAAAATAATTAATATCTATATGAGAAAATATTACCATATCTTTTAAAAAATTATTGAGATGAAGGATAAAAAAGTAAAAAGGATGAAGAAAAATTTCATCAGGAATATGTATAATGATAGAAAAACTTCAACATTAAATGTTTCATTTTAACCTTTATATAATTTGATATTGATTCTGATGAATAAATACTATTTTATATATTATATATGCTTCTGTTCAATAAATAATATTTTGTTATTGCAATAACGTATATGTTTTTAATACATTGATACTTTATTCATAATATTTTATGCCAATATAATATATTTATTTAATATTATTGTTGCCATCATAATTTATTAATAGATAAACATTCTGAGGAAGTCTAATATTTTTTGAGACTTTTGTTGAATTCTTTAAGTTTGTAAATTTCATAAATGTGTAACAAGTCTATGTTATATGCTATTCTGATTGCAGGGATCTTTTCAAAATCTTGGAGGTTATCCACCAATTCAGTATACTGGCAAGTTCACTTTTTTGGATTGTAGATATACTCAATCACTAAACTATTTTTTATTATTCATTTATCTTTAAAACATGTAAATAAAATGTAAAAATAAAAAATGAATATATATATATATTAAAAGTGAATGTATATTTTAAAAATATCGATGGCTCTAAAAAGAACTTATAGTAAAAATGTTCCTAAAAACAGGTATAATTATGTTTAAAAATTTCTAATTATAGTTTTTGTTTAAGAAAAATTAATTCGCGTTTTTCGTTTGTAATGTTAAAAATTTTAAGTGCTAAAATTTTTTTAAAAAAATATGTTGATTCTGAGAAATTGCCATTAGTTGAAATGACTATTGGTTGAAAAATAAAGTTATTTAGTATTGAGTATTTATTAATTTTTATTTTCCCTGCTAGTAAGAAGATATCTAAAAGAAATATCATTTTTAATAATATATTATATAAAAATAATAATGGTCGCCATCTCTGGCATAAAGCGATTAATAAAATCACCCATAACGCTTTTAATAAGGCTAAAATGCCAACATCTTTGAACCTACCAACCTCTCATTGCAGGACGGCCTCAGACCCGACGGTTTAACCTGCATACCCTGGTCCAATGCGAAATCCCTTATTTGGGACGCAACCTGCGTCTCCTCTTTTCCTTCATCAATTAATTCAAACCCTCTTATTTGTGGGGAAAATAAAAAAATTAATAAATATTCAAAATTAAATAACTTTATATTTCAGCCAATAGTCATATCAACTAACGGCAATTTTTCACAGTCTACATATTTTTTCTAAAATACTTTATCACGAAAATTTTTTAACATAAACAAAAATTGCGAATCCTCATTTCTTAAACAAAAACTTCAACTAGATATTTCTAAACACAATTATACTTGTTTTTTAGGTACATATTCATTATTAGATTATGCTCCTTTTAGAGCCTTCGATATTTATAATATATATATATTATAAATTATTTAGTAAACTTGTTTTAATATTTTAGTGTATTATCATTTTTTAAATAAAAAGTATCAATTAATAAAATAGCAAACGATTTTTTTGTACTGTGAACCTTCTTCATCAGCTTTTCTTCCATATATTTTAATAAAATTAGTTTTTTTTATAAATATCTTAATAACGACGGTAAGCATTTAAGTCCAATATTTAAAACTCAAATAAAATATAATTTTTATTATAAATACAAACTATTAGAATTTTCCATATTTTTTTTTATATTTTATTAAACGTTATTCATACATTGCATAAAGTTATCTAATTTTTAATTGTAAAATTATGATAGTTTTTTTTAATAAATATGTTTTCACATTTGATCAAAGTATTTACTTTTCTCCACTACAAAAATGGAAATTACAATAAAGCTATATATAAAACATTACTTACTTTGAAAAATCCCGCAATGTTTTTAAACAATTTTCATATTTCTCCCGTAAAATAAAATTTTGACCTGCCAATGGCAACCCTGATCTCTTATATGGTTTAAAAATCATTTATTATATATAATGTTTGATTTTTAAGAATACGTTGAAGAAGTCATTATGAACCGTAACAATAACCTATAATGGAAAAGAGAGAAAAAGAAAGAACGAAATTGTTATAAATTTTAAACTAATAATCGAAGCGCAACTGAACCGATATAGTACCTGACGATTCCACACCCAGTGGTATTTCATCGTTATTTTAAACTACTATTCACCTTAAATTCTCACATTTAAAAAATAACTAATAAATTTTATATGATTTATAAAACACCCTGGCCCACGTTACAGCTGGTTCTGACAACGATTTTCAATTTAGCCACTCGTCTCAATTTAATTTTCACCATTGCCCAGTCTGCTCCTTCAGCCTCGATAAACCTGCCCACCACCGTTCATCAGCTCTATCTAGTTATAACGGAAACAACCAAAACGAGATTTCTGGTGATAGCTACGGATGGGAAGGAATTGTTTGGCCCCATGTTCGCCGTCATCTTTATTCGCGCGTTTTTCGTTCCGCCATGTTTCCAAATGGGGATGGAGACTTTACCCGCGATCAACTTTTTGCGCGACATATTGCCAAGATAACCGCATTGGGTCTGGACCCACGCCATAAGGATCTCAATATACCCGAGGTTTGTTATGTTTCTTTGACATTTATTAATGGTTTTATGGGGCCTTTCTAATTTTTAAAGTAGGGAGGTAATGTATATTAATAATTATTAGACCTATAAGAATCGAAATTTTACTCTCGGTTTGGATTTTGGGGAAATTTTATTTTCAAACCCGACACGCCCAGAGTATTTTTAATCTATTTGGTCCGGAATTTTTGATTATCGTTATTTTACTAATTGTTTCAAAATAAAGCGAAAATATAAACAGTAAACGAATTTAAAACGCGCCAGTATTTAATTTTCTAACTGATTAATTGATATAGCCTGGCTATGATTAACAAACATTTTTTTATGTTTGATTAATCAATATTCGATCCCTCGCGCAATTTATTTATTAATTCTTAACTCTTTTTTATATTAATAAGCGAAACCTGGCTTTCTACCCATGGACCGAGGCCCGGAATGCACTTAAGGCACTCAATCTGTGTTCTTGCCCCCGTGAAAAGCTTTTCCACGTAATCCGCACCTGCTTATTAGTATCGGCCGCCCTCAGTCATAGTGGATTCGCTTCCCTCTCTGCCGGAGATCACTCCGCTGCTCAAGCTGATGACCTTGTCCCGGTTCTGGTGTACGTGGTTCTTGCTGTTAATCCGCGGGCCCTGCTCTCCAACGTTCAATACGTCGAGCAATTTTATTTTAAGCGTAGTCATCACAGCCACCATGGCACGTCATCGGTGAATTCCGATGGAAGGATGCACGAATTTCCGACCGTCTCTACAGCAGACGATTTCTCTTCGTGCACGGGTGAGATTGGTTATTTGTGGACCCAGTTCCGCTCTGTAGTTGAGTTTATCAAAACCATGGAATACGCAGATGAATGAATAATTAAACACTTATCCTTTGTCCAGGCTCGATGCTCAGGCACGCACCGGAAATGGTGTTCGTTTACTTAATTATGAATAATGAATCGCTATATGTAATGTATATTGTTAAATATTTAGAAATTTATTTTTTGACTAGATTATTTAACATTTAACGCGATAGTTTTCCAGCATCTCTTGTTACATTTTTTCGATGTTTGGGCTGTCATTGTTAGAAATTTTTAGTGCTTATATTTGATGACATGAATTTATATTTTTTTAAAAAAATAATTCAATTTTTTAATAATTTTTTCAATTATATTTTACTTCTTTATTTAATGAAAACACTGATATTTCCAATTTTTTTCACCAAATACTGAATATATTATTTGTACATATAATTTTAATTTCATTAATAAATGGGTAAATGATTGAAACGAAAAATGTATGACGATAATATAACAATTAATTTAAGATTCGTTTACCCGTTTATATTTAAATAATTATTTATATTTTATTATCTTTCTTTATAAAATAATTTGAATTACATTATATATCATATTTTTTTTATATATCTTATGTCTTATTTTGCATTTATTATTTTTGTTTGTTCTTTATTTTATCATAAAATTAATATAAAAAAAGTAAGCTTATTTTTTTTTTAAATGATTCTTAAAATAAGAAGTGTTCAACCTACGATATATGTATATTAGCTAGGTCGGTTATTCAATAATTAAAAGTGCACACACATGTCAGCTCTTGACACCATTTTCTGTTCTGCACATAGACTAAAATTCAGTCTTGCAAAAAAAATTTCTTAGATTTAAATTAGTTTCTCAATTTATCAAGATTTTTTTTATGTCATTAAATCCAAATCCGGGTTAATTTGCATTGCATTGGTGAGAATTTTTTTAAAAAAGTATCCTTTTTTTGGTAAGTAGATAGTTATTGGACCCACAGGTATGCAAATGGCAAAATTTTTAGGCCTGGTCCGGTAGGAATTTAATTAATACCCGGTTCAGTTCGATTTTTTAAATATAAAGCCTACACCAAACTTTATGTTGTTGAACACCAAAATAAACAACTATTCTTGATATTGAGGTGTGGTTAAATTAAAAAAGATCTCTAATTAGGCCATTATAATATATATTTTATAAGTCATTTACCATTTTTTATTCACTAAGCAATGTGAATTTTTATAGCAATGCAAAAACTTGTATTTAGAGCAAATAATATTATACTATACGCATTATAAAATTTTTCAAAGAAAATAGGTTATAAATTATAAATATGGGGAAAATATATGACTAAATTATCTGGTATTAGGAGGATAGAGCGTCAGTCTTGCCATCTTCTACATATATATAAAAGAGATACATTCCAAGATTTATCCTCTACCCTCCCCTATTTTTTATTACCAGCACAGGAAACCTCCTTTCCCCGTGAAGTACATGAGGCAAATGCCTATTCTCCCCCGTTATAAACCTTCCGGTTCTCATTTCCAGAAAAAAAGTAATTTTAAGCGACAAGTCGAAATGAGATCAATAAAGTTTCTGATAACTTGCGCTCATAATAAAAATATTTTAACATGGCCGCTGGACTGGCCTAAAAATTATCAACTTGTTAATATCTGATTTATAGAGGTTATAAGTTTATTATGAAAATCGATAGTAGTGATGCAAAATTGCACCACTCACTACGTTGAAAAAATTGGCTTAACCTTCGTGAGCCGAAAAAATTGGCTCAATGTTGAACTTAAAATCTGTGTATTATAGCTTCAAATTGGAACTTAATAAATAATTTTATTAGATTGAATTTGAGTATTTAAAAATAAGGATGGGTATAGTGTTGCTTTTATTTTAAATTTCTATGGAAAATTCCGACCTTAAAACATAATTCGTTTTTATAAATTTGTTCTATATTTCTGTTTTGTTTTAAATTTCTATGAAAATTCTTCGCAATTTTTTTTTTAGAATTGTAAATCATTTTAAAATGAAAAGTTTCAATTACCTCTTTCTATTTTATTTCCTGTTCTTAAATTTGTTATGTTTTAAAAACAAAAATCGGAATATTAGTTTCCATATCATATTAGCGAATTTGGAATTTTAATAAATTTTAAAATGATAAAAACGATCATCATTTAAAAAAAGTGCTTACGTTGACATCTTTAAACATTGATAATTTTAAATTGATAAATAAAATTACCGTCCCCATATTACAGTTAAATGAGTGTTATTATACAATAAAGGGGGTAAAGTATAAGATTTTAATTTAAAACATTGAAATTAATTCTCGATACAAATAAAAAAAATATTCGTTTGGGATCGGCCGAGTTTTATTAAGTTCCAATCCAAGGTTTGGGCCGATTTATTTTGCTCCAAGGCTGAGCCAATATTTTCCATTAGCGTCGGCTCAGCCGTTTTGGAGTAGGCTTGAGTGGCGCGATTTTCCATCACTAATCAGTAGGGTGTACCTTTACTATTTTTCGGAAGCCGATACGAAATTAAATAGATATATATCGCCGATTACCGATCCATTATCACATTTGATTGTATTCTTTATTTGATTTTTTTTAATGTATAAAAGTATATAAGAAACAAAATTAAAAATATGACATAATGTTTATTAATTCATTATTATCCATTATTAAAAAATTAATTAGTGCATGTTTACATTTCCTTAATTTTTTTAAAATATGATTTTGAAAATTTATAAACATTAAGGCGCCATTTTATCGAAAAATTTTATAATAGGCCCATAATCGATATTTTAAAAAGATGAATAATCGGCTCGATTCCTTCCGATAAAATAATATCGGTAGATCCTTATTTATGAGATACTTTAAAGAGGTTAAATTTTTAAGTCCCCTCATCAGATTTTTTTTGATAAATCTATCTATGTTTGATTTTAAACAAAAATTTGATCATTCTTATTAATTTAGAAATTCTCTGATTCGTTTATGAGAATTTATAAAATAATTAAAGATCTTTTAGGTCGAAATTTTAGTTCCCGCTCAAATTTAAAAAATAGATCACCAATCCCATCCCCCCGGATTTTCATTTTTCCCTTATTTTGAGTTTATATTGCAAATTGTTTCGAAGGGAAATTGAAAATATGAATATTAAGCATTCCATGATATGAATATCCAACTAATTAGCTTATATAATTTTTTTTTAAATCGGCCCGGCCCTAGATTTTTAACCACGGATTGGCTTGGATGTTTAGTTTTTTTTAAAAAAATTTAAAATCCTATAAGGATTTTTGGAATCATACTATTTTTGGACCGATTTCCTAGCTTGCAGATCTTTCAAAATAATAATTGAAATTAATAAGAAATAGTGAGTTCTAATAAATTGCTGCTCACTGGCTACACATTTACCCAGAAAATATAATAAACAAATATTTTACTTATTTTATAAAAAATTACTAATGTTATTTTATTAATTAAATTATTTTTACGCAAGAAAGCATCAGATTTATTAAATCTAATATCCCCATAAAATGTGACATATTATCAACAGGACGTGTTACAACATTTTAAATAATTATATTTCGATTTTTTATAATCTCTTAAAAAATTCAATCAATAATTTTAATATATGATTTAAAATTAATAAATATTTTGGGGGATTAATATTAAACAAAGATAACAAAAAAACTCAACTTGACCAGAAAATGTAATATCTGTTTAAAAATAGTAATAGAGAAAGATGACGATAAAAATTTTAACAATTTATTTTTAAAGTAAATATATTTTATAATATTTCTTATTCATCAAATGTAAATCTATTCATTATTTATTTTCAATGAAATCCTTTATTAAAATTGTTATTATTGTAAAATAAAGAAATTTTTAGGATTGGGAGATTAGAACCGTTGTCAAATAAAGAAAGGTTAGAACTAAAATGATACTAAATCTTTATTAAATACTTCAATATAAGGTAAAAACATAATCAAAATAAAAGAAAAATAAAATTAATATAAATTAAAGATTAAAAAAATTAAGTTCGTAAAATCATGATCTATTTACAATAAAAATATCCTCGATTATATATACTTTTCTCTAATATTCATTTACATAATGTTTAAAAAACAAACTGAAAAAATCTTGAACTTTATTTAATCTGAGTAATAAATCTTTTTTCTTCATTTTTCTTTAACTCATTTGAATATTGCAACAATTATTATTAATCTCACGAAGCAATTAGCAACGAACATAACAAGCAGTCCCAGTGAGAGTATATTTTCTGTAGCTGGGCTAACCTTAAACCTAAGAACATCCTCACAATGTTTTAAAAAAAAATTTATTTAAAGAATAGTTGTTTCAAATAAATGAAAAATTTAGTGTTTCATTAAAAAACATTCTAAATTAAGTAAGAAAAATCAAAAATAGTACTTTAGGGTAATGAAAGATTTGGCGCGCCGCCTGACCCTCCTCGATATAAACGGTAGCGTGAAGAGCAGTGCGCCGCTGATAGCTTTAAAGTCGCCGCCGATAATTTTTCTAGGCGCACAGTTCTAATGCCGTAAATGTTCGTAATAAATAATTGAAAATAAAAAAAAAACATTTAAATTAAATTATTTTATACCCCTACCTAGAAATCTACAATGTTATTTTTTCGCGGCGCTAGCTCGAATTTTATAATATTAAAAAACAATAAAAAATTATGTGTATTTATTCATATATTGCCACCGTAAATAAAAGAAAAGTATATTTAATCCCTATAATCTAATCAATATTCATATAAAGTTGCATTTTATTTAATTTGTATACATATAAATTTTATTTAATTTAAATATAAAAAATAAAGTTAAAATACAATCGAATTTCTATATTATTGTGATTAAATACGAAAAAAGATGATATAATTGTTATCAGAGAAAAAATTTCTAAAAAATATAATGAATAAATCAATATCAGTTATTCTGATTGACATTTTTGTGAAAAAAAAGATATTTGTATTATTAAAGATATTTGTATTTTTAATATTTATTTCGGGTCGGACTTCGGTCAGCCCTTGCAAACATCTACCCACACTTAGTTACTACTTTTTTTGGTAATAAATGAAGAATAATCTTCGTTTATCCTTTTAGAATAAAGAAGCAAAATGTCGAATAGGTATATTTTTTAAAATCGAAACCGAAATATTATTTTTTATAAACCGTGCCGTAAAAAAAATTTTTTGTACCCCCGGGCGGAATTTTTTTCACAAAACCGGGCCATGCAGTAACTGCAGGTCTCTGAAAGAATTACGGATTGACAAAAAATCTAAAAAAATAACTGGGTTACAAAGACAAAACTATAAATATCAAAATTTTATCATTCCCCGCCCCCTCCAGCACCCATTTTTTAATTTTTATTAATAAAAATTAAAATAAAGTCATTTTGATATAACACGATTCTTAAAAAAAATTCCATTATATATTTATAGGTTTT